ATGGTATATCAATCATGCTCATCTTGTTGCACAAAATTGTGGATTGTTTTTTACCTAAGGCCTTAGTGAACACATCTGTTAGCTGTTTCGAGGATGGAGTAATGTACTAATTTTTAGACTCATAACGGCCTCACGAGCGAAGTGACTCAGTGGCAAGCAATTTAAATGTGTTCATTTTTTTTCATGAAAGATAGGATTACTGTCCATACAAATTTCCACGTGATTGCCTATCTGTAAATAGGTTACGGCTCATTTTAGCCAAAACCCAACTTGCAGAGTAGACCTTTTGGCCACATCTTACTAATTGTGTGGGCCATAGCCATGTATTCTGCTTCCACACTAACCTAGCTAGTTTGCTTTTTACCATGCCAAGTCACCAAATTTCCTCCCAACAAAGGTACACTATTAATTTGTGGACCACCTTTCGCCTTACATCCAGCACAGTCTGGATGACTTATTGCACCTCAAAATTTTAAAGTAGCTTCCCAATGATTTGGGTTTAATCAATGATATGAAACATATTTCGTTCAAATATTTTTCTCAGGAGCACTCGTCTTTTTTGCTGCTTTTGGAAGTCCTCAATTTTGAAATGCTTAAATTGTTATATATTAATATGGAATTCTTGTTCACAAATCTCTTCCTTGTGTGTTCATGGAAACAATGAGTGCAGTTGTTTTGTCTGGTTTATGTTTGTTGGATTGTAACTTTAGTTGACTATTTGACAATTTTCATGTTGCAATGCTGGTTATCATATGCTCATTATATTTGTTTTTTGGGTGTAATCATATGGTTGATGTTGGTATTTTTTGCTTGTTAATACTTCTCTGCTGTAGATCACCGTTGAAAGTGCTATCTTGGAACAAAGCAATAGCAAATATGAACTACAAGGAGAGTATGTATTGCCTGGTTCCCGGGATCGAAGCCCTGTGAGAAAGGAAATAGGTAGCTTGTTCGACAAAGTAATGACTCGTCATTTAGGGAGCATGGTCTCTTCTATGGGTAGATGGAGGATGAGACTAGAGGTACCTAATGCTGAAATAGCAGAGATGCTTCCACTTGCTAGGCTTCTTTCTCGAAGTTCTGATCCTGCTGTTCAGTATAGATCGAAGGTTGTACTCTACACATGTGACGTATTATATATTTGAAGATTCTTTGTTAGACGCTTTGCTGTACTGCATAAATGGAGCCTATAATGTCTCATCAGGAGCTTTCTCTTTCCATTTTTAATGCAATTAGAACTTAGTTTCACCTGCATGGAAACATGCATATGCATGAACTCATCTAATGGGCTTGGTGCTTTGCTTGGCATAATCAGAATGGCATGTTAAACTTCCTTCGCTTCTTACTTTCAATTGAGTTTTGGGTAGTAGATGCAGCAATGCATCAAGGGTCCAAGGAAAACAGTTTCTCTATATTTAATAGGGGTAAGGCTACATGCATTTTGACCCGCAGACCCCAACGAAGTTGGGATTATACTGGGTTGTTGTTGTTGTAATCAGCTTATATATTCTAATTTTAGGTACTAAATTCTGAACTAGTGTACCAATCTTTATAGTCTGGAAGTAAATTTTTGTTGGGGTTTACCCTTTTCAATTGCTTGAATCTAATAGTAAACTTGATTGTTCTCCTTGTACCTTTGCCTAGCCTTAATTAAGTCAATAGTTTGTGGCACATTACATCAATTTTATCCATATTGATTATCACCTTCTTATTTTATCCTCTTTTGCTTTGGGTTGTGGGTAGAGCCTTAGTTTTTAGTTTATGTGGTTCTCTTTGTGCACCTGCAGGACCTCTTCATACAAAGTTTGCAGTCAGTTGGACTGTGTGCTGAAAGCCTTCAGAAACTTCTTGAGGTACGTTTTCTTGCATGATTTTTAAAATTTATGGGATTTCAAATTTCCAAGAGCTTTACCGTGAAATTTTCATGTCTGATTCTGTAAAATTCTTGTAGGAATTTCGAGGACATTGTGCCACATCATATGAAGTTGTCCTTGACAATTTCGATCTTCCAGGTTTAGCTGAACTTAAAGGTCGCTGGCGTGGCTCTTTGGATGCTAGTGGAGGAGGCACTGGTGATACGACGGTAGTTATCTCTGCACATCAATTATAATTCTATGGGAGAAAAATATGTAACATTTTAACCAGGTGCTTGACTGATTGCTAACAAATCTACAGAAAAGTACCTGTATCTTACCTATGTTCATCATGGGAGAATTCTTAGTTGTCCTGGTCTAAAATTCTGCATGAAACTTCTATCTTCAATTATTCATTTTGGCATTCTGCCGCAGTTAATCAGCTAAGTTGCCCATACATTTAATGATTCTCACGCTGATATATCCTTTCCTTGAACCTAGAGTACAAAAAACTAGATAAATCCAACAATTCTTACACTTCTATATAAGAAAATGGTTTTGAATCGCTTTGTTCTTCATTACCTGACATAAAAGAGAACATAATTTCACCATGGACTCTGGCTGAACTAAGAGTCCTTTACTATTTGCTCTATTGTGCTGAACTTGCAATTTTGTATCTTCATGGTTAATTTAATCTTTTATGGCTACCTTAGGCAGAGTTTGACTTTCATGGAGAGGAATGGGAGTGGGGCTCATACACAACCCAGCGCATTTTAGCAGCTGGTATGTACAACAACAATGATGGTTTGCGTCTTGAAAGGATCTTCATCCAAAAGGATAATGCAACAATCCATGCGGATGGGACTGTATTAGGGCCAAAGACAAATTTGCATTTTGCTGTTCTGAATTTCCCTGTCAGTTTGGTTCCCACTCTCGTTCAGGTTATTGAAAATTCAGCCACTGAAGTCGTTCACTCCCTGAGGAAATTGTTAGCACCTATTAAAGGTATCCTACACATGGAAGGTGATCTGAAGGGAAATCTAGCCAAACCTGAATGCGATGTCCAAGTCAGGCTCTTGGATGGGTCAATTGGGGGAATTGAACTTGGGAGGACTGAAATCGTTGCTTCTTTAACCCCGACTAGCCGTTTCCTATTTAATGCTAAATTAGAACCCATTGTTCAATATGGCCACGTACTTATTCAAGGAAGTATTCCTCTAACACTTGTTCAAGACAATGTTATGGAGGAAGAAAGCACTGAAAGGGAAGCCACATGGGTTGGAGGTTGGGATACAGAGAGAAGTAAGACTTCTGCTGATGAGGGTAATGAAAGAAAAGGATCAAGAGAAAAGAATCAAGAGGTTTGGGATACACAACTGGCAGAGAGCCTCAAGGGTTTAAACTGGAACATATTGGATGCAGGCGAAGTTAGGATTGATGCTGACATCAAAGATGGTGGCATGATGTTACTAACAGCATTATCTCCTTATGCTAACTGGCTCCACGGCAATGCTGAAGTTATGCTTCAGGTTGACTCAATTCTCTTTTGTCTTTTGTTATATTTGAACTATGACATGAATTGTTTCTAATATTGTTTATTGGGCATTAATTTGAGTTTTAACTTGCGTAGGTAAGGGGTACTGTGGAGAAACCTGTGCTGGATGGTTCTGCCTATTTTAACCGGGCAATTGTGTCTTCACCTCTACTTAGTAAACCAATTACCAATTTTGGAGGAACTGTTCATGTAAATTCAAATAGACTATGTATTGGCTCATTGGAGGGCAGGGTAAGCAGAAAGGGGAAATTGTCTTTAAAAGGGAATCTTCCCCTCAGTGCCAGTGAAGCATCTCCCGGCGATAAACTTGACTTAAAATGTGAGGTCCTGGAAGTGCGTGCAAGGAACATATTGAGGTAATTTATATTCCAATTTCCAAAAGGAAACCCCTCCCTTCAATGCATTGTTTCATTATTTCGTCTAGAAAACTGAGAGGGAAACTTCTGGTTATCTAAGTGGTCAGGTTGATACTCAGTTGCAAATAACTGGATCTATCATGCAACCAAACATTTCTGGAAAGATAAAGGTCAGCCACGGAGAAGCTTATCTGCCCCATGACAAGGGTAGTAGTGGAGTTGCTGCCTTCAATAGGGAAACAACAAATGAACCTAGGCTGCCAGCTAGTGGTTATGGTCACATGGTTGCATCAAAGTATGTTTCACGTTTTCTTAACCTAGTACCAGCATCGTCAAATAGCTCATTCCACCATTCATCTGGTAAGTTTTGAGAGTATGAACATGAAGATGAGCTTGTAGTTCATTTTATTTTGGGTTAATTCAGTGAGACAGTTCGAAATATAATTCTCGTATTGGAGAAAGTGAGAAACACGAGCATGAAGCCAAGATTCATGATGATTTAAGTACCCATTTATCTTGGTGCTGACAAGGAGATTAAAATGGAAAGTGATAGTATAAAACTTGATCAGCTGTTGATGAATCTTCTGTTAAAAGCTGTTAACCAACTATGACTGTTTGCAGGTGAACATGATGAAGTAGAAAAGGATATGGTACCGGTAAACAGCAGACCAAAGCTTGATATCCGCCTAACAGACCTAAGGATTGGTCTTGGGCCAGAACTGAGGATAGTTTATCCTTTGATTCTCAATTTTGCAGTCAGTGGAGAACTTGAATTAAATGGTCCAGCTCATCCCAAGTGTATAAAGCCTAAAGGCGTTTTGACATTCGAGAATGGTGATGTGAATCTCGTTGCGACACAAGTATGTTTTAAAATATCCTTGGAAGCAAATGGTGCAAGTCTCAGATTTGTTCTTAGCCATTTGATAATTCTTGAAATGATTCGATTTGGCCTTTATTTTCTCATTTCTCTGTACACTAAATCCAGGTGAGGCTCAAACGGGAGCATCTTAATATTGCCAAATTTGAGCCTGACAATGGTCTTGATCCGATGCTTGATCTAGCCCTGGTGGGATCAGAATGGCAGTTTAGAATTCAAAGTCGAGCTAGCAACTGGCAGGAAAAGTTGGTCATGACCTCAACACGTTCAGCGGAGCAAGATGTTCTTTCAACTACTGAGGTAAATTTTGATGCTTAAGTTTGTCAAATGGGTCTTGTAATAAAAAGCTATTAGCATGTGCAAAGCTTATGCATGTGGTTACATGACACATGGTGTGTGACTAAACAGGCTGCCAGAGTTTTTGAAAGTCAGTTAGCTGAATCAATATTGGAAGGTGATGGTAAGCTTGCTTTTAAGAAGCTTGCAACTGCTACACTCGGGACATTGATGCCGAGGATAGAAGGCAAGGGGGAATTCGGGCAGGCTAGGTGGAGACTAGTTTATGCTCCCCAGATCCCGAGTTTGCTCTCTGTGGACCCCACAGTCGATCCTCTCAAGTCTCTAGCAAGCAACATTTCATTTGGGACTGAAGTAGAAGTTCAGCTGGGGAAGCGTCTTCAGGTTACGTATCAGTCTTGAACTCATCATTATCAAAAATAACAATAAGAAAAAGATCGAATGGACGAAAGTGAAACGGAGTGTTAATTGCGCTTGCCCTCTAATTATTTACTGCTAGCACTTAAATCTTCATCGTTTTGAAACTAATCTTTTTACGGATGAACACTACTACAGGCGTCGGTAGTTAGGCAGATGAAGGATTCGGAGACAACTATGCAATGGACCTTGATTTACCAGCTCACGAGCCGTTTGCACGTGCTCATACAATCTGCTCCATCCAAACGACTCCTATTTGAATATTCGACAAATTCACAGGACTAGGGATGGAGGATACCCTACTTCATAGGAGGAAGAAGCATTTGATGCATTTTCTTCATTGAATTTTGACTGTGTAAATCAATTGATTCTTGTAAATAGAGTTGTTCTTTGCTTACCAAAGCTTCCTTTTGTTAAAAAGCTTCATTTTCTGATCTACTTGTTCTAGTGGCAACAAAATTACAGTGCATAATTTCAAGCGGTCTGGTTCATGATCCATTAATTTACTCTGACTCGCTCCAAGTTCGGTCTGGATTTGGACCAATGCGAATCCTTTCACCGTCCCTCCGGGGAAAAAATGCGTCGTAGGGCTAGCGGTCTATCATTGTCCCTTCTAGTATCTCACTTACAAAATGTTCTTTCCAACTTATTATTTATTCTCGTTAATTATTTTTATCAGTGTCAAATCATACTACATCTATTCTACGGATCAAATGATCGGGACTAGATCAAGTTAGACCAGAAAGATATATACCTTGCCGTGTCCAATTTAAATGGCATGCTGTTTACGAGATTGGATTAGAATATTTTTTAATTCAAGTTATTTGTAAAATGGTATGGAATAAAAAAAATAAAATTTACATATTTAAAAACTACTTCAATAGTTATCTACTATATATATAAAAGCCCATGAGAAATCAATGCAACAATTTCATTCCAATTTTCCCTCCATTTTTTTCAATCCAATGGCAGAAACAGTTTTGGTAAACATGGCACAAATCCATAAAATATGGCCCTACACTTTAATACAATCACAAGAGGCCGAACAGAATGGGGTCAAGGCCCATCAACTTTAGTAATATTGCTGTACAAAATGCTGATAAAGTTTTTCTCTTCCACAGAATTGCATGAAGGTCCAGTTTTCCTCTTCCACAGAATGGCATCAAGGTGTTCTTGAGTTCGGATTAAATTCAATGGTTCCACTTCATCCCCACAAATTCAGTGTTCTTGAGTCTCGGATGTGGTCACCAAAAAAACCATAATTTTTCATTCAATTTAAACAAATACCACAAATTATAAATTGCTATATAATTTCTATAACAAAAACTAAAAATTATTGTGAGGCTCAAAAGATATGATTGCCATGGCTGCAACGACAGTCTCAAATTTCCGAGTTGCCTCGCCAAGATACAAATCATTTCATTAAATCTTTGGTAGCAGCATTGGAAAATACACAACGATATCGTCACGGCCTCTTTAATCTCATTGCATTTCATTAGAGCAACATGGGGCTAAAAAGAGGCTCAGAATTTTCACTATTTATATACTCATCACAAGGGA